ACATACATAACTTACAAAGTGAGTATAAAAAAATTGTAAAAACGTCATTTGGAAATCGCTAGTGTGTTCAAATGCTCATCTATATATGTTCATTTTGTTTAAGCGTTATTCTCATTTAGTATGTGAGAGCGAAATCGTAATGGTTCGATTGATCTGCCAGGTCAATATCACCAGAATCTAGTCTATAAGAGCATTAACGTTGTCATCTATAATCTTTTCAACATGGGTATGCCATTTTAAAATGAGTACTACAACAATATAAAATGAAACTACATAGTTACGAAATGAACATCAAAAAATTCGAAAAACTCATCTAAAATCTCTAGTATGCTCAAATATTAAACGAGAATACATAATTTATGAAATGAACATTACATCAATATGTATTGATATTGTTCCTTATTTCAGAAAAACCAATTTTACTGTGATTAATTTTGAAATTATATCAATGCATATTTAATTTAAATAATATACTCATATTTATTTACAAAGTTAGAGTTGTTAATAGAAGAGTGAGAGAAGTACATGTTTTATTCAATTGCATGAAAAAAATCTTGTAGAAAATTGACATAAAAATAAAAAAGTTGCAGGAAGTCAAAATATAAAATAAGTGGAAAGAATCGAAGAAGCAAACCACCAACAAGATTGATTTGCCATTTGAAGTGTACTGGTCGCTTGCATTGCTTAGGTGGGGCGGTCATTTTGCCAGAAGTCCAAAAGCAACGGATAAACAACAGAATAAGCAAGGAATTAAAAGAATCAAAGTTGAACAAAATTACAAAAATGTTGGGTGTATAGATACACCCGGATGTATGATATAGGAACTGTCACATGATACATCCGATAACCCTTTTATGATGGATGGGTTGGATGTAAATGTAATCTTTAATGAACGAGTGTGTGGAATATGAAAAATTAACAAGTGAACATGGATATAAATCCAACCTGCTACCACGATGCCACCCCTTCTGAAAGTAATACTTCGTACTACGTACTCGGTAGCGTAGCTGCAAAGATTGATCCACTTCTATAAAATAAAAAAATGGGAAAACTGTCAAATAGATACTCAAACTTTCATAAAAAAGTCAATTAAGTCCTTCTATAGGAGACTCTGTCCGGTTGTCGCGATTTGGGGCGGTTCCCGGTGAAATTTTTTGATGAATTTTTTTGATCATCTTAATTCGAGAACACAAAATGGCGCAGTTATCTTCAAGAATTAATTTGAATGTATTCCCTATTGAATTTTTAGCTGAAATTTGGTATGAGTAAACTAGATTTGTTGAATAAGATGCTCAAAAAATTTCATAGGAAACAGCTCCAAATCTCAACAGAACCTCATATAGAAGGACTTAAATTGACCTTTTTATGAAAGTTCAAAGACCTATTTGACAGTTTTCTCTAAAAAAATCGACCACAGTGGGAGTCGAACCCACGACCTTTTGATCCGAAGTCAAACGCGCTAATCCACTGCGCTATGCGGTCTGTTTGTCTATTGTTCCGTTCATTCTCTATAAATTATCTGCATATGCCTGACTAGTAAGTACTAAAATCAAGTTGATTCTGGGGTCCATGTGTGAACTGTGCAAGTAGAATGTTGATCGGTGATGGAAGAATTTTGAACTCTACAAGTCCCAGACAACTGTACATGTGATCATTACAATTGTTCCTACTTCCTACTTGTGATCATTACAATACATGCATATATGAGAGATATTTAGAGGTGGCGATTATAGACGCTTGTATAGTTGGATTGATGATATCTTTCTAAAAAAAGTAGAATATTGATTGCAACGGTTGGGCATGATGAAGTAGCTTTTTAGTTAAGTAAAAAAGCCAAGGAGCCATATACTCTTTATGAGTCATACTCCTCTCCATTTTCTTCCCTTCATTTACTCTCTCCATTTTTTTTACTCTATCTCTCTCCTTAAAAAATAATAATTAAACATTATCTTTTGTTTCTCCATACCTCATCACTTCCACTTCTCACTTTATCTCTCTCCTAATGGAGAATTCCGGTTACCGGAGAGGAGCTAAATGCACTCTTTATGAAGTCAATATAGAGGCGTGGGCTGACTAGTCTGGGTAGAAGAGTAATTACATTAGACTTAAACATTATCGATATGAACTTTTATCATTTTTAGTCACTTGACTAATGTGTCTGACACTTTTGGTACTCGACTTTGATTGTTTTCACTTTCGACTATTGTGTGAAAGATATGTATGGTATACGTTTTTGAAAATTTTCATATTTAGTCATTCAACTTTTATAAAAATGACAATTTTGGTGTTTCAACTATTATAATAGTCGCATTTGTAGTCCCCCACTTATTATATAGAAATCATAGTGGAAGGACTAAAAATGTTAATTTGATAATACTCAAGAGATTAAATGTGAGAAACTTTGAACTCAAGGACTACAGTGTCTCTCACACGATAGTCGAGGACAGAAAATGAAAAAATGAAAGTTAAGTACGGAAACTATCACTGATACAATAGTCAAAGGATCGAAAATGACAACAACTCTTATGTGAGTGGAGTAAATATGGAAAAATGAAAAAAAAAATATGAAAATGAAAACAAGAGTAAGTTACCCTAGAATTCAGCCCACTATAGCCCTTACTAAATCCCTGTATATCATCATGTCATCATGTCAATTTTTTAAAGAGATACATGAGTCATATGTATCATTTTAAAAGCACTTGTCAATTTGTCATCATATAATCACTTGTAAATTTAAGGAGCGATGTATATTATTAATGGAGTTTTCACGGAAAAAATATGAGTAATTATGTTTTCAGACAAAAATATAACTACTCACTGTATATGAGTAACTAAACAAGAGTCGGGATGACGTATTTCATAGTGATGAGTCACTAAAACATGATGAATCACTATAAACTAGTCACTAATTTATCATTTTTGAAAAAATTATAAAATAAATCATATTTTTATCTTTTTAATTTAAATTTGTAATATCCATGGAAAAAGACATCTTTTATTAATCCAAGACTCTACTAAAAGCAACAATTTGTCACCCAATAGGAGTTTGTCGTCAAATTTGTCATTGGTTTGTAAAATTTGTGACCATTCATGTCTCACAGAACCTGAAATAAGGCTGGGCCTCTGGTGCGCACGGGAAAAAGGTCTACTATCATTGGGCCGACTGAGTCACCGTGATTAACATCCTCCCAAAAATCCTGTCGGGTGGGAGTATGGGGGCTTCTGGGGTGGGAGATTCCACCTTTTGGACCATGTGACCATTCATGTCAATCAGATCTTATCACCAAATCCCATGTCCAATTCTCCAAAAAAAGGATGACATCTCATCCCTGAGGGTCCCCAACCCCGACCGGATGGTATGTTGGGAGCAGGGGTGGACCGTAGTAGAGACCCAGGGGGCTCCCGCCCCCCCCCCCCCAACAAAATTTTTTAGGGTATATATATATATATTTATATATATATGAAAAATAATTTTCGCCCCTTCAAAAAATAATTTTTGCCCCCAAAAAATATTTTGAACCCCCCAAGATGGATTTCTTGGGCCCGCCCCTGGTTGGGAGAATGTAAGTTGGACTATAATCACAATCTAACAGATGGAGAGTGAGGTTCTGTCCCCGGTACTTGCATAGGTCCTATGCATTTTTAGCATAGTAACCTCTCATCGCAATTGCCGGGATTCGAACCCGAGACCTAACCCTTGTGACACTCCCATGTCCAATTCTCCATTTTCTATATGACGGAGTATTCGAAAAAATTTAGCCTTGAATTTCAAGATTAGACCGGTGATCTGCTTAGATCCTGAGGAATGTAGTATTTGCAAATATCCTAAGGAATCATTAAATTAGTTTTCTTTAGAAAAACGGCTCATATTAATATATCAACAACACCACAAATAACATCCAGCACGGAGAAAACAGACAAACTATAAAGACTAGAAACTTTAGCTCCACCATTCGCCCTTAGACCAAAGAAACAGTCACCTCAAAAGAAGCTATCCGATTCGTTAATCTCCACTTGAGCAATGGTAAGCCAATTATGATCAATCCAATTCCTTGTCACTTATCCTCTCCTGACTCAGACTCAAAACAACAACTAAAATGAAAGACAAATCACCCTGGGTAAAACATACCCAGCAGAGAAACCACCTGTCATCCCTACCAGCATAGTAAACTAAAATAACAACAAAAAGTTATTAAAAACATTATTAAACAAGCAGCAACTAGGCGAGCCTAGAAATCTAGGCTCGCCTCCTTCAAGTTTTTTGCTCCATCAAGCACAATTGCACTTGCATCGTGTTCATGCTCATGAAATTCCAGCACTTGTCTCCTCTTCAGCTCCCAACCCGATTAGCAATACCCATCTTTGGACTCTTAAAAGCTTCTCATTGCACCAAAGTTATTGCTAAGTTTTTCTCATGAGAACTCCCCATCATGTCTTCCACAGACCTCTCCCTCCTACCTGCCCCTGTGTGCCTGATTGGACCAACCACTTATTTCCTTCCATGCCTATACCTCTGACACTCATTGCCTGCAACCATGGACCGTAAGGTTTAACCAAATCGCAAGCTCCCTTACTATACTCCAAGTTTAGAACTCCGTACCAATATGTCTTTGGTTCCCACAAATTCGTTAGAGAATTTCATATATACTGCCTAGTTTGGCTCTCACAAATTCGTGTCTCATTATATTCCTCCTTTTAATTTCTTTTTAAAATTTTATGCCACTTATTATAGTCCCTCTATTATTATCACTCACATTTTCTATTTGACTTTTAAATTTTCTATTTTTAGTCCATCAACTATTTTGTGGGATACACTCATACACTTTTAGTCTTCGATTTCAAAATTTTCCATTCTTAGTCACCTGAATATTGTCAAAAACACTTTTAATTTTTCTACTATGATTTTGAAAAAAATAAGTGGAGGACTAACAATGTCACTAGCTATTTGAAATAACAGTATTATAGCGCTGTGATGAAAGAACCCTAGCGAGGTTATCAATGTGAAATAATGGGAAATGATACCCTAAGAGGAGTCTTGGCGGTTACATTTATAATATAAGAGAATTACCTAAAATAATTATTCCTAATTTAATATTAGGCTATTACACCCCCTCAAATTGTGCGGAAGATACAACGCACATGTTGTCTTTTAAAAAATGAAATTGCTGACTAGAAAGATTCTTAGTAAATATATCCGCCATCTGAAGACTAGTAGGCACATATTTGACAATCAGGTCTCCACGAGTCACACGCTCACGCACAAAGTGGTAATCAATCTGGATATGCTTGCCCCGAGTATGTTGAACTGGATTTGTTGTCAAGTAAGAATCAAATATATTGTCACAGAAGTGATGAAACAGATGTCGTCACAACAAACCCAAGCTCAGACAGAATAGATCAAATATGCAATGTGTCCTGAATAGTGTAAGCAATTCCATGATACTCCGCTTCTGCAGAGGATTTGAAGACAGTATGTTGCTTCTTGGACTTCCAAGACACGAGATTGGGCCCCAGGAAAACAACAAAGCTAGTGGTCAAATGAGAATTATCTGAACAACCAGCCCAATCAGCATGTGAGTATGCAACAATGCATGTGGCCTTAGGCATGAGTTTAAGCCACATATCATGATCTAGGGTACTCTGCAAGTATTTGAAAATTCTCTTGACCGCAAGAAGGTTAGTGGTACGAGAAGCATGCATAAATTGAGAAATTAAATTCACTGCATAAGTAATACCAGGTCTTGTCAAAGTTAAATACTGTAATGCATCTACCATACTGCAATACTCAATGGAATCTGCAAGGAGCTCGCCATCAGTGAGAGACAAAGTAGTACGAGACGCAAGAGGACTGCAAACATATTTTAGAATATGCAAATAAATGAAAACAATAAAAAAGATCAGACATATTTATGACGAGAGAAGAACATACCTTTATTATTTTGACTGGTCTGAATGCCAAGAAAATAATGAAGATCACCTAAGTCTTTCATTGCACAGTGACGAGCAATAAGTTGAATAAACTCAATGATAGCGAAAGAAGAATTACCAATGGTAATAATGTCATCCACATATAAGAATAAATAAATAACAGAAAGAATTGTCCTGGCAGTAAATAAATAGACAATTATCAGACTTACTACACACAAAAATTATGAGTAAAAAAAACTATTAAATCTGTGAAACCATGCCTGCGGGGTCTGTTTAAGCCCATAAATAGCCTTGTGCAAATGACATAACTGATGAGGGAACAAAGGATGAATAAAATTTTGTGGCTGACGCATATAAACCTCTTCGATGAGATGACCATGAAGAAACGCATTTTTAACATACTTTGTACTCGGCCCAGTAGTGGCCCAATTGTAAATGGGCCTCCCAAGCCCAAGACTTGGGAGCCCAGCCCACATTTCCTCTATAAATACTCCTTTTGGGAGTAGTTGTAAGGGTTGAGAAATCATTTGTTACATCATATATTGCACTTCTCTCTCTAGGTCTCACTTCTCTCTAGAATATATACTCTATCAGCTACTTTTATGAAGGTTGAATGACTAAATATGAAAATTTTCAAAGACGGACATAAAAAAAGTCTTAAGTACAATATTGAAATGACTAAAACTGAAAAAACTCAAATTCGAGTACCAAAAATGTTATCAACGTAACAGTTGGAGGACTAAGGGGGTGTTTGGATTTGATTCTTAAAACTGCTTCTGCTCCTTCAGGGAGCAGAATCAGAAGTTGAAGTGTTTGGGTAAAAGTGCAGAAGTGATTCTGGTGCTCTAATTTACTCATAGAATCAGTTTTTTTAGAAGCTGGAGTTTTTTAAAAACTGATCCTGCTTCTGCTTTAAAAAAGAAGTAGAATCAGAATAACTTCCAAACATTCCCTGAGAATAGAAAAAACTTTTGTTTTGGGAGTACCAAACGTGGCGTTAACATCGATGTGGATCAGAAGTGCTTGAAAAGGAAACAGGCTGAATTACCTCCCTGACCTGCCGATCAAATGGAAACCATGTTTGGTTGTCTATCATAAATTTGTGCTATAGACTTCCATCCACCACCCATCTCCATTCTTAATGGCGCCGAACTCCAAAATAGTTCAAGCTTGTGATTTCCAGTTATACTTAACGTACATTATTTTAATCCAATCATCCTTGCCCCACTACCTTTACAGCCCAGGAATTGAAGGACATTTGCTCACCAGTACTTTTATGTTCATATTCGGCCTCCAAGTCAGGTTTGCCGAAACAAAAGAAGCTTCAAAAAAGATGTGACATTTAATTTCAAATTTTGGTCAGAGCTATGTCAATTGAGATGATTTCTTATGTTTTGTTTTTGGTAATTCGTATTTTGAGTTAGGATTTCATAAAAAGTAGACAAGAATTTTGTACGTTTCTTTGGAATCTTAATTTGATTTAGAGAATATTTCCCGAAATAGAATTAAAAAAGTTTTAAAATTTCAAAATGGGACTGTCATGTTCTTATTCCTAAAATAGAGCTAATTACTGCCATGTTTTGGCAGTACCAAACTTCAAACATGGCAGTATTTAATAAACTTGGCAGTAATTACTCATATTTTGGGAATAAAAAATAGAAGTTGCCCTAAATAGGGGTAAAAACGCTTTGAAATTCCAAAATAGGAGTATTATATTTTTTATTTCTTGAATAGGAGTAATCTGCAAAGTTTGGGAAAAAATGCCATGTTTAAAAGCGTAGTAATGCCAAACTTGGCAAAAATTTACTCCTATTTAGGAATAAAAACATGATAGTCCTATTTTGGAATCTCAAAACTTTTTTACTTCTATTTAGGGAATTTACTCAATAAAAAACATGACAATTCTATTTTTGAATTTTCAAACCGTTTTATTCCTATTTCGGGAACTTTCCATTTGATTTATCGTACTCCCTCCGTCCCGGTCATTTCTTCTAATTTTCCTTTTTGGGCAATCCCAATTAATTCTTCCAACTTCCACTTTTGGAAAAAATATGTGGTTCACGTTCATTCACCTTTTTCTTACACAACTACAACCATACATTTTCACTTTATTCCCACTACCTAAATTTGCGATACCGGTCAAAATTGGAAGAAATGACCGGGACGGAGAGAGTATTAAGATTATACTCCGTATTAATAAGTGGCACTAGCTTTGAAATGTTTGAATCCCTTGCATTTTCCCCAACTAATCTCAACATTATATTTAAATGTTAATCAAATATACTGTTTACCGTATTAAAGATGGTATGGCTAAAAAAAGATAATACGGCTCAAAATAAAATATACTAGTACTATTTACCATCCAATAAAATCACACTATTGAAGCATTTAATGAACTCAAGTAATTAATACGGAGTATGAACATCAATTATGTTTGGAAAGTTCCTGAAATATGACTAAAACAGTTTGAAAATATCAAAATAAGATTGTCATGTGTTTTATTCCCAAAATAGGAATAATTAGTCAAATTTAGAAAATACTGCAATGTTTGAAGTTTGGTACTGCCAACACAAGGCAGTAATTAGTCCTATTTGTGGGAATAAAAACACGGAAGTCCTATTTTGGAATTTTCAAATATTTTAAGTCCTATTTCGGGTAATATTCTCTAATATATATATATATATATATATATATATATATATATATATATATATATATATATATATATATATATATATATATATATATGGCAGTTTGTATCAGGCTTCTCGTCAGGCCGAAATCATTTGAGAACCTTCTCGGTCGAATTTTTGGATGAAATTTTATAAGCATGTTCATCATCAAATCCAGCTTATCCATAAAATTGGAACAATATAGAGAAGATTAGCGTGACCCCTGCGCAAGGATGACACACACAAATCGAGGAAAAAAAACTAGCTTATCCATACCAAATTTAAGCTAAAAATTCAATCTGGAAGGCAGTAAAATAAATTCTTTACAAAACCTATGCTTTATATATAAAAAACAGCTCAGTTTTCTTCAACAATTTATTTTTCTGTCTTCCCGATTGAAGTTTTATCTCAAACAACTTCATCAAAAAAATTCACCCGGAAGAGCCTCTGATGGCCTCGGCCGGACGGCAAATCATGTCAGGCCGGCCTGACAGGATCACTACTCTCTCTCTCTCAGAAATTTTACTATGGCTAACAAAAGCTAGTATGGCTCAAAATCAGATATACTATTTACCATCGAATAAAATCACATTATTGAAGCATTTAATGCATTTAATGAACTCTTATAATTAATATGAACATCAATTATGTTTAAAACTTAGCGGAACAATATAATTGATGGAGTATATGGCCCGGGAACCCCTAGCCCACAGACTCCTACTACTCCAGCAAAGGCCCAACAGGCCCAAAAGGCCCAACAGGCCCAAATCACATCGCCCAGAGTACCAAGCAGTCCGCACAACGCACAGGGATGCCTTCGCCCCCCTGGCCGAAGGCTCCAAATTCTCACAGAGCGGGTTTCTCAAGCAAACTAAGAAACTGGGAGAAAACGGCGAAAACAGTAGCCCTCGGCACTGTCAGCCCTCGGCACCAGGGTGCCATCGGGTGGAAGAGCCCTCGGCTACTGCTCTATAGCCGAAGGCATCTCACTCGACAAGATATCCGCCTCACATGCGTACAGATCAACGTACCCCGCACAGACGTCCCATCCAACAGCCGCATTAAATGCGGCCACATGCGGCTGCCAGCGCCAACCAGTTGAGGTGACCCCTCGGCCAATGAGCACTTGACACGTGTCCCTGCCCGGCATTTATTGCTACTATAAATAGCACCCCATTTCCCCATTTGTAACCACGCTGAATACGTATCGAATATACACTCTCTCTACTTTCATTTACTTGCTCTGACTTCTCTCTAAGTTATTCCCCGTAATAACCCTTCGGATATATACCCCCGGGTAGACTATCCATCATTTGGTGCTCTCGTTGAGAGGTTGAACAATCGAGTAAGAACCCCCCCCCCCCCCCCCCCCGACCAAACACAAAACACTAGCCCTCTATCAAAATGGTGAGGACAACGCGTGCCAACTCAAAGAACGTAGAAGACAAGAACCTGCCCCTCGGCGACGTCAACGCCCCCGAAGCCTCTCACAGGGCTCCCGAGGGCGGTGTCCTCGCTGGGCTGGAACAGGCGGCTGTCGACCTACGCCTTCAGATCCAACAAAACGCCCCCGATGCCCGCCTCGGCATCGAGGCCAAGAAGAAAAACCGGAGCGATGACCAAGTCAGCCCTCCGGTTCTCACCATCGACGTACAATCGGCGCTCTCCGCCTTCATCCAAACGCTCACCCAGAACCCGAGTGCCTTCGGCACCCTGGCTCCAGCTCACCCTCAAATCGGGGAAAATATCATACTTACCCCAAGGGTATTGGCGGCCCGGATCCCGGAGAAATACCGAGGGCAACACATACAGCCCTACAGCGGGAAAACAGACCCCCAGGAACATTACAGCAAGTACCAGAACAGCATGATGATGGTGGGGGCGTCAGACGAATATTTGTGTCGTTGGTTCCTCTCCACCTTAGAGGGACCAGCATACGAATGGTTCAACAGGCTGCCCGAGGGCTGCATTGATTCGTGGCAAGAACTCGCCCAACGATTCTTGACACAATTCGCCGGGAGGCGTTGCACAAGGAAGCACTTCTCCCACCTCCTAACAATACGCCAGAAGAAGGATGAGACCCTTCGGGATTTCCTAGAGCGCTGGAGGATGGAGGCCGACAAGGTCGACGGTGCTGATGACGGGACCCTCCTGGCCCTCCTACAAACCGTCCTCCGCACCGGCAACTTTTCAAGGAGCCTCATCATTGAACCCCCCCGCGACTACATAAGGGCCTTGCAGCGGGGGGACCGGTATGCTGAGGCTGAGGAGGTGGAGAAGTATCACCAACACCCGGACCAGCAGCCCCCGAGGGCTGACAACAAGCATAACCGAGGGCCGGGCGCTCCTCCAAATCGCCCCAAGACTTCGGGACCCTCCGAGGACCGCCCTCGGCAAGGCCAAGCCAAGCCCGGGGGAGGTTATAGGAGCAACCCTAAGACTTGGGCCCAGCCCATTCTCCTGGACCGCCCTCGGACACCATTGACGCACCCCGTCAGCATCATCCTCGATTTTGCCGAGGAGAGGGGCCTCGTTGAGCGCGACTCTCGCGCACCCCCGGAGGTACACGCTATCAACCCTCAGTTCCCCTACTGTCGCTTCCATCGGCACCAGGGGCACAGGACCGATGACTGCCATCAGCTGAAGACGGCCATCGAGAGATTAATACAGGCAGGGCACCTGTCCCAGTTTGTCCAGAGCCCTCGGCAGGAGGGACCTTCTCATCAGGGACCTCCCCGAGGGCACCATACGAAGGTAAATGCCTGGGTGAATCCAAACACCATCCCCCTCGGCAAGAAGAGGGAGATCGGAAACTTGGAAGAAGAGGAGGAGGAATACCCCCACTACCAGGAGAAGAAATGCCACATCCTCATGATCACCGGTGGCAACACAGGGGGTGATTTCACCAGCCAGCGAAAGAAGTGGGCTCAATCGCTTTACGTAGGGGAAGTCACTCATATGCCCCCGGTAAAGCGATTGAGGGAGGAACCCATCACCTTCACCAACGCAGATCTCCCTCCTACTTCTTCTCCTCACAGGGATGCCTTGGTAATTCGGATGGAGATCAACGACACCATCATTCACCGAACTTACGTTGACACGGGCAGCTCCGTCAATGTAATGTACCTCAGCACCTTCAGAGAGCTGCATCTGGAGAGGGGGTCCCTTCGGCCCATCAAGACCCCTCTTGCCGGCTTCACCGGCGACACTATTGATTCCGAGGGGGTAATAACCCTCCCGGTGATCTTCGGCGACGGGCTCCATAGAGCCCAGCTCGAGGTGGAGTTCGTCGTCGTCAACATTGATTGCGCCCACAACATCATCCTCGGCCGGCCAGCCCTCGAGGACCTCGAAGCCATCATCTCCATGAGGCATCTCTGCCTCAAGTTTCCCGCCGAGGGGGGCATTGGCTACTCCCGGGGGAATCAAAAAATTGCCCGCGCCTGCTATCTTCAGGTCACTAAGAAGGTAAGCAAGACGGAATTCCGTGTTGACACCATCACCGAAGCCGTCGACCAAGAGGAAAGAAGGCCGAGGGCTGAACCGGCCGAGGACGTAGAAGACTTTGCGCTCGATCCGGCCCAGCCGGATAGAGTCGTGAAGATTGGAGCCCAGCTCCCTGAAGATTTGAAGACCGGTATCACCGACGCCCTCCGTG